AAAAAAGAAGTGGATTGGCGCATTCCCGATTCTCGCTCGCGAACGCCGCACCGGAGAATCAAGAATGCGCCCATCCAACTGAGGGGGTCTCCCCCCCCCCCCAAGAAAAAAAAAAGAAGTGGATTGGCGCATTCCCGATTCTCGCTCGCGAACGCCGCACCGGAGAATCAAGAATGCGCCCATCCAGCTGAAGGGGTCTCCCCCCCCCCCCCCACAGAAAAAAAAGTGGATTGGCGCCATCCAACTGAGGGGGTCTCCCCCCCCCAAGAAAAAACAAAGAAGTGGATTGGCGCATTCCCGATTCTCGCTCGCGAACGCCGCACCGGAGAATCAAGAATGCGCCCATCCAGCTGAAAGGGTCCCCCCCCCCCCACAGGAAAAAAAAAAGTGGATTGGCGCATTCCCGATTCTCGCGCGCGAACGCCGCACCGGAGAATCAAGAATGCGCCCATCCAACTGAGGGGGTCTCCCCCCCCCCGAGAAAAAAACAAAAGTAGATTGGCGCATTCCCGATTCTCGCTCGCGAACGCCGCACCGGAGAATCAAGAATGTGCCCATCCAGAAGAAAAGGTCCCCCCCCCACAGGAAAAAATGGATTGGCGCATTCCCGATTCTCGCTCGCGAACGCCGCACCGGAGAATCAAGAATTCGTTCATTTAATTGAAGGGGTCGGCGGCACTGGGCGGCAGCCCTTAAATAAATTCCCCCGTTTAGTTTAGGCGTCTAAAGCCGAATAGAATAACCATTAGAATCTGGGGTTGCCCATCCCAAATGGCCCTGTCCCTGCTCAATTTGATTGCTGACAGTGTTCTGATACAAACAGCCTGTTGCCCAGGTGGCTGCACACTGTGTTTCTTACCTCATTTTGCAGTATCGCTACTTGCACTTATGCGATGCTGATTTTAGCATGCTAGCTGCAACTGCGGACCGTGCTGGTTCTTCCATGTTGGATGCTGGTTGCTGATTGCGTTTGACAGCCACAATGAGTAGCCGCTCTGTGATACGTTGCATGTCTGGCTTATTTCTGCACTTGGCTGTTCTCTTCTTCGGTTCATGGTCACGTGTCACACATGGTTGCTTTTTCCTCGCTTGAGCTGCAATGACTGCTTCATGAGTCATCGTTGATGAGTAGCTACCCCAATGACTATTGGGCGGCGGTGGCAGTTGCAAGCTGTTTGATAATGCCAGTGTCAGATTGCTGGAAGCTGGTCGGTGCTAGCTGATTCTGAATCCTAAATGCTGGTTGAGGCCACGATTCACGATTGCCGATCTTGGAAGGTTGGTCGGAATCTGCGTCTGACCAGCTCGAACACTGTGGGCCTGAACATGCACGTCTGTGGGAAGGCCTGTAGGCAGCCATCCTTTAGATCCTCCCCAGCCTAGGCAGTGCGAGCACCACATCAGCACCCAAGTGCCATCGGAGCCCACATGCTCCGAGCACTGCAGCTCACCCCAGTGCCAAGGCCAAGGCTCCTTGTACAAACGCAAACAGATGCTTCATCCGCCCCTTTGACTGGCCATCCCAGTCAGCTCAAAGCAAACATTCCGGAACCGTCCGCAAATGACAAGAACAGGAGCCAAACCCAGAACAGGCACAAACGCAAGGGCTAAAACCAAAACAATAAGAAGGGCAACAATAGCAGCAGCAGCAGCAGCAGGAGCAGCAGCAGCAGCAGCAGCAGCGGCAGCAGCAGCAGCAACGGCAACGGCAACAGCAACAGCAAGAGCAACAGCAGCAGCAGCAGCAGCAGCAGCAGCAGCAGCAGCAGCAGCAGCAGCAACAGCAGCAGCAGCAACAGCAACGGCAACGGCAACGGCAACAGCAACAGCAACAGCAACAGCAACAGCAGCAGCAGCAGCAACGGCAACGGCACAGCAACAGCAACAGCAACAGCAACAGCAACAGCAGCAGCAGCAGCAGCAGCAACAGCAACGGCAACGGCAACAGCAACAGCAACAGCAGCAGCAGCAACAACAACAACCAACAACCACAATAATCTCTTCCCCCTATTAATAAATACGCTCCCCCCTATCATAAATAAATCCACCCAAAAATATAGGTTTTTTGTTTAACTGGGTTTTTTGGGGTTGGTTTTTTTGCTTTTCCAACAATGTGAGGGTTCGCATAGGATTTGGAGGAAAGGATTGAATTGTAAGGTCCGCGAGTAAGCGGTTTAATAAGGAAACTTGATGTATCATTCTATTTGTTTACCAGTTTACTGGTTGTTTGTTTGCAGCCAGGCAGGTTAATTAGCCAGCATGTACGGGAGAGAGACAGTCGCAGCTAGACAGCTTTTGGGGACATGTTTTCTTTTGAGGGGCACCCCAATAACTAAAGGGCCCAATTAAAAAAAAAAACATTTTGGGGCGCAGCCAGGCAGGTCAGGTAGCCAGCTTGTGATTGACTGCTAGACAGTCCAGTGCTCGAGAAGGCAGTGTGGGTTTCAAGACAGCCAGACATGCATTCAGTGGAAGGAAGGCAGCCAGCAGTCAGCCAGCACGGCACAGCTAGGCAGAAAACTCAGACCAGACAGCATTTGCTGATCTGGGCGGCAGCAATGGCTGGAGATGGTCAAGGCAGCCAGACTGGTGGCCAGGATAGGATGGACACACCGAGCAGTCCTTGCAGAGCTTGGTGCAGTTCTTGGACCCCAGCCAGATGGCCATCTTGCGCCAGATGTTGGAGAACAGCCAGGACAGGGGGAAGGGGTAGATACAGATCAGACATTGAATGGCGATTGTTTATCAAGCATCACTTGTGTTCTATCAATCATTTCCTTGATGACAAGGCCGAGTCTAAGAAGGCTGCAAGGAGTGAACAGACAGTCCAGGATGCCCCTCAGCAGTCAGAAGCCGTCCAGCCTCAAGAGGTCGCCCAAGCCAGCACGGGACAAATGAAGAGGCAGTCTTCATTTGAAACCCCGCCCAGCAAGACCAGAGCCGCCAGCTCGCCAACAGGCAGTGGCGGTTACTCCTCCTAGTCAGCAGGCGCTGGCTGAGGGGCGAGCTTTTCAGCCGGCTGGTGGCTGGTCCTCTGCCTGCGAGGCTGAGAGCCAGATAGGCAGACAGCTAGACAGCTTGCCACCATGGCCCGGTAAAAAGGCCAGACAGCACAGATAGGCAGGCAGTTTAGCAGTCGAGGCCAAGTCAGCATTTCTGTTTGTTCCTGTTTTTTGGTTTGGGGAGTTGTTTAGTTAGTTTGTGGTATTATAACTATAATTAATTATCATTTTTGTTCATTGTGGGGAACAGAAATGATGACAGCCAGGCGAGAGGCCAGGCAGAATTGGCTAAGGGGGGAACAGAGCCAGGCAGGAAGCCAGGCAGGAAGCTACGGAGCCACGCGAAAAAAAAGAGGTGAGAGAGTCAGGGAGTCAGGGACAACCAGGGACAACCTTTTCGGGAGAGAGTCAGGGACAACCTTTTGTGAAACCCACCAAAAGGACCCTTCTAAGGAATTCATCTTTTGAGGAACCCACCTTTTTAAAAATGGAGCTGGAAGCTTGCTAAAAGTTCCCCCTAATAAGGATTCCAAGACTTTAGTATTGGTTGAGTATTGGCGCAATGGAAAATCAATTGTGGGGAGTGGAAATCTGGTCTCGGGCCCCGGATTTGCATTTATTATTAATGGGGGTCAACAACAACAACAACAACAACAACAACAACAACAACAACAACAACAACAACAACAACAACAACAACAACAACAACAACAACAACAACAACAACAACAACAACAACAACAACAACAACAACAACAACAACAACAACAACAACAACAACAACAACAACAACAACAACAACACAACAACAACAACAACAACAACAACAACAACAACAACAACAACAACAACAACAACAACAACAACAACAACAACAACAACAACAACAACAACAACAACAACGACAACAAACAACAACAACAACAACAACAACAACAACAACAACAACAACAACAACAACAACAACAACAACAACAACAACAACAACAACAACAACAACAACAACAACAACAACAACAACAACAACAACAACAACAACAACAACAACAACAACAACAACAACAACAACAACAACAACAACAACAACAACAACAACAACAACAACAACAACAACAACAACAACAACAACAACAACAACAACAACAACAACAACAACAACAACAACAACAACAACAACAACAACAACAACAACAACAACAACAACAACAACAACAACAACAACAACAACAACAACAACAACAACAACAACAACAACAACAACAACAACAACAACAACAACAACAACAACAACAGCAACAACAACAACAACAACAACAACAACAACAACAACAACAACAACAACAACAACAACAACAACAACAACAACAACAACAACAACAACAACAACAACAACAACAACAACAACAACAACAACAACAACAACAACAACAACAACAACAACAACAACAACAACAACAACAACAAGAACAATAACAAGAACAACAACATTATATAACAACAACGACAACGGCAACGACACCGACTACGACAACGAAAGCGACAACGACAATCACAACAACCACAACGACACAGCAACCACAGCAGCAGCAACAACAACACCAACAATTACGCCACCACCAGCACCACCACCACCACCACCACCAGCAACAGCAACAACCACCACCACCACAACCACCACCACCACCGCCACCACCACCACCACCACCACCACCACAACCACAACAACGACGACAACAACAACGACAACAACAACGACAACAACAACGACGACGACCACAACAACGGCGACGACGACAACAACAAAAACAAACAAACAAACAAACAAACAAACAAACAAACAAACACATAAACAAACAATCAAACAACAAATGAACAAACAAACACGTAAACAAGCAAACAACAAACAAGCAACACGCAACCTAAACTTAACAACCACAAACAAAGAAACTGAAAATGCTAAGGTTGGCCCTGGAACAGATACAGCGTGTGCATCGCAAACTAAAGTTGGAAATTTGAAAAGCCCTGATTTCGGCAAGCCCGGCTCAGCAGGTCCTCGTCATCGCACCACGTCATACTGTCACGGCTTGCAGCTTTCATGTCCTTGCTGAAGATGTAGACACCTGTGCAGAAAAGGCCCAATGCCACAAAAAAGTCCACTCTTGCGACTTGGAAGGCACGGGAAGAGCCAAACTCCAGCCGTGTTGCTTGACAAAAGTCCGAGTCTGGAAATGATGCATCCTCAATATCTTCGATCAACAGATTGTTTCCGGGATTGTTCAACCAAATAAAGTGAATTGCAAGTGCTTCACCAACCCCCCCCCTTTCGCCGACCTTTCGAGGATATCATTATGTTGTTCAGCGAGAACACCGCTTCTTCGAAAAGCTCGTGGTTGCTGTTACGCTTTCAGCCCTTTTGCGTTTCCAATCGCCGCCCTTTCGCGATGCAAACATAAATTTGGTCATGCAACTTAGAACAAGTGCTCCCATATTAGCTCATTTTGGCAAATGAGGCGGGGTTGTATAAAAAGGGGGTGATAAAGGGTGCGACCGAGTTTGGGGCTATTTTCGTTTTACTCCTGTTCGTTTTGCAGCCTCTCGCTGTTTGCAGCTAACCGTGTTCGACTCCACTAGGTTCAGGCTGTTTTGCTTGTGTGGACATTAGGCAGGCCGAGAAAGGGCCACAGTGTTCGACCAGCCTCTTGTTTCACTTTCTGATACTTGTCGATTTGAGACAATACCCCGGATCAAGGAATTGGGCCACAAAACCAGCACCAGTTGCTGTCCAGTGCCTCGGGCCCGAACTGGGCCTCGAGCAAGGGTGCAGCACTCATGCCTTACCAAGGGCTATCGTTCTGAATGTGCATGTTTTGTCGAACAAGGACCGACCCAATACCAAAGTATCATAACCCCGCCCCCTTTATGCAACCTCAGGTGGTGCGAAATATATACATATATACATATATATATATATTCGTAAAACAACTGCTCATTCGGCTTGTCTTGTGCCAACTTCACAATTCTCCTGCTGCAACCTTTAGGTTGCAGCTTCTTGGCCTGACGGCCTTGGAACAATCCTTGAGTCAGGCGTGGCAAATGTTCGACGGGCACTTGCTTACTTGCTCCGTTCTGCAACAAACTTGCTCAACAGCATCCCAATAAAGCAACTCCTTCAAAATATCAACCTTCCTTTGGGCAATGACATGCAATGAAAATACTTACCCAAATTGCCACTTCCGTCTGCGCAGTGCAAGGGTTGCGGGCCGCGCTCGCCTCCAGCGCATTTCCATTCTGTTTCTCCGTACCAGGTGTTGCAGTCTTTCTCCACATTCTGCTCCAGAGTCTGGCAGAGTCCGCCTCAGGTTTGGAGGCGGGCTGAGATCTTCAGACGGAAGTGCCATCCGCAGCAAAGCACAGACTGGTCCCGCTGAGTCCCGTTCCCCTGGATCGGACCACACTCGGACCCAGAAAGTCGGACCCACCTGATATTATCCCCGATACTGGGGTTGATCACTTGGGGAAGCCATATATTTACCTAATATTATATATATAAAGTATTAGGTCCATATCAGCTGGGTCCGACTTTTTGGGTCCAAGGCTGGTGCACGGAGGCTACAAAAAGGAGTCGATGTGACAGTGTGTGTGTGTGTGTGTGTCCATTTCAAAGCCGCCTCCCCAACCAGCCATAAAGAGAGAAAGGCATATTGAATTTATGACATGCCGCCGGCCCTGTCCGTCTCAGCAAAGCTCACGAAGTGCTGAGTGGCATTGTCCGTGAGAATGTGCGTCTTCTCCTTGAGCCCACACCGATATGCCATGGCTACATGTCCTCTGACAAAACAACAATTGACAGTGGGCTTGCATCTAGCATGCATCAGTACCCACATGCGCATTTTTTGGAAAGAGTGCATGCGTGTCTCTGTGCATGGGAAGATTTCGCTTGCTGCCGCATTTTAGCTGTGGCTCACTTCTCAAGCTGCCGGACACCAGCCGCAGCGCCAGCCAGAAGCTCGGTGACCGCATGCTGGAAAAAGTTGAAGCGTGAAATGTGTTGATCATCTGAGGACTTTCGGGGTAGCGCTCGGACACACAAACAATATATCAAGCTCTCGAGGTTTGCACTTTAAAAGAGCGAATCCCGGGATCTCGTGTCATGGGTCAGTGTGCAGTTGGAACACACACACACACAAACAAAAAGTGTGCTGGGAGTTAAGTCTGCCAAGCCTTGAGCATCCGGCATCGTTCTGAAAAAAAGCCGAAACATACTTGAGACCTTTTCTCTATGAAGCCACCTGGCTGCGATCACAAATGGCCGACAGAAACCTTCGCTGTGACAGTGCAAGAACAACTCGTTTTCTGACCTTTGAAGTGGCATGCATCATCCAGGGCAAGAGGTGAAGCAATCAGTGCAAGGATGTGTCAAAGTCAGCTTTGACTGGTTTCCGTGTTGCAACCTTGAACCAGCAAGACGCATCAACTGCACAAACGACCGCTCTGCCTAGTCCCCTCCAAGCTTGTGTAGGAGGCAACAGTTTGTTGTTTGAGCATCGTTCATTGCCAAACACAGAAACTTGAATGAAGCTTGCAATCTGATGCAATCTGACCTCCGCTTAATGCTCCTGACACTGATGGAACCAAAACAACTGCCAAGCTCCCGCAGAGCCTTTTCGCCTGTGCAAAGGCGAAAGGACATGCATGAAAAATACACGGACGCTGTTGAGTGCCCTGCGTTCTCGCTGCGGCCGACATGGCGCATGGTCATGTGGGCAAATGCGGGGGTTCGCAATAGATGTGAGGTCATGTGCGTTGCTAATTGTTCTGCCCTCCAAGCTCCTATGCAGTCAGTCGGAAAAGTTGAACATACAGAAACATACATAGGTTCCGCAACGTGGCCCAGTCAAACATGCCCAAAAGCAAGGGGCATGCAGAAATGACCCAGTCTGCGTGAGACGCAGGACAAGTTCATGGTCCATGAGCAGGCAACAACGCTGCAAGTCTGCACCCCCAGTCTTCAACTGCAAGTTCCCCCATCACAGGCATGTTAGCTTGCAACAATCCTCAACACCGCAGCACCCACGCACAAGCACTGTGGGATAAGCAAATGTTCTGTTCAGCAGCGCAAAGAGCCATCTCCAGAAATTGGGTAAAGCACGAGATGTCCCGAAACTGCAACTGCCCATCCCTCCCGCGCACGAGTCCCATGGCCGCTGTGCCCTTGGCGGCCTGGCGAGATAGAACCAGCCCCTGGTGCCCTCATGCAAAATCTTAACGTTCTTTTTCCTTTGAAGTGCGCAGGCAAAAGTGCGCCAAACCTGCTTGTCGACCCGGCCAAGAAAGTGTTGCGTGGCTGGCTGAGTGTCAGTTGGGCATTGCCAATCTGAGGGGGGTCCGTGTAATTAGCGGTCATGCTGCTGGAGCACACAACGTAGCGTTTGCCCATGGAAAGGCTGACATGCTGCTTGAAAATGCCACTAGGGCGAGCCTTTCCAAAAATGCAAGGCCGTCTTCGCTGCTGCTACAAAGCACAAAGCGCAAACAGCTTTCTGATAAATGCCGAAGTCAAGACCAACTTGTTCGGCACTGTGGCAACATGTTTTCCACCTCACGATTGAAAGCTACGTCACACGCTCTGCATACGAAAACCCCCCACATTTTGTATGTTCCATATGGGTTCTTCTTTTTTAGGCGACCCCCACAATGGTGGTTATGTTGTTGGCTTGCCTTTGAAAACCAACCAACAGGGGGTCCCCCAAAAAGGATGACACACCCATGTCCCATCTGACAAAGCCAATGGACTCCCGCGTCCGCCTGGCTCGTGGCCTCACGTGAGGGATCTGCCTCGGGCGGGTTGAGGCAACGAGAGTGGCGCCGAGTAGCGGATCCTCTGCTTGGATTCCTTGAACGCTGGCATCGCAGAATGCTGGTTGGCCCATTTTTCAAGATAGTTGGAGTTGGCCCACTGAAAACTGCGATCTTGAAGAGCTGCTCACCCGGTTGCAGGCAGCTACTGCCTCCCGCGAGGAGGAAGCAGGACCTTCAAGGCTCACGGCACAAGTTCTGAGCCCCTGCGCGGCCGGATCTTTGACTGTAGAGGCTGCAATGGTGGCTTGGTACCTGCAAGGCGTGCAATTGAAGCATATTGAAGCGCACACGCATAGGTAGCACACACGCACAGGTACCTGCATGTAAAACGCGAAACATGTACGCGTGTACAGACAGAAGGCTGATTGCCAAAGTGCGCAATTAGCATGTTGTATTGTTGTTCCCGTCATTTTGTCCTGCTGGCCGATGTCAAATGGAACTGCGTGGTGTATGCGTGTATCGTTACCAAATGTGAGCGCAATGGAAAACATGAACGCTATAGCAAGTTTACTGGGGATTTAACAAATAAGCGATAAAGCACTGCGACTGCTGCGACTACTGCGAAGGCTGAAGCCGCTGCAACTACGACCACCTCCGCTGCTGCCACTGCTGCTACTGCTGCCACAACTACTGCAACCAGTACTGTTGCTGCTACAGTACTTCTGCTGCGACTCTTTTCATTAAAAAGGACGTGTGAAAGAGTAAACACAGCAAGAACACCAGCATGCTCTCTCACCTTCGCGGCCCAGCCCTGGCCTTCGCGCCATAGCACAGCACCTTCCAGGAAAGTCAAACGTAACGTGTCGTCGCCGGTGGCACGGAAAAATCGCCAACAACGCCTGCAACTCCTGCCCCGAGCCGAAACTTTAGGGCCCTCTCCGAATGCTAGGTCCCTTTTGCAGATCACCAGAGAAGAGGGGGCACGCTGTGTCCTGCCTCCGGCGTTGCCCCAGGCACTGAGAAGCGCATACCTGTGGGGTCAAAGCTTAAAGAGCATCGGCGACCAAACCAATGCCGAAGGCTCCCACGTCCCCAAGGTGAAACGGGTTCTGGCGTTCTTATTCCAAGACCTGGGTGCTGAAATGCCTCAGGACCCCCTTCTTGATTGAATGAGTCATGGGTCACGGAACAAAAACACCAGAAAGCACACTGGCATCTGTGCAAACAAGCTCTTTTAAAGGGCAGCACAAACTATTCTAGATTACTCTTGGAAACCCTAACTGAGTTCTGCCCTTTGCACAAAAGCGCTGTCCATTGAACTCAGCATACAACCTTCAAGCATTCCCTGGACAATTGAGGAAGTGCAACAATTCATCTTGTAAAAGGAAACTTGTCGGCCCCAATGGTCTGCTCAACCCAGTCTACCGCACTGCTTGATAATTTGAGCCAGAGTGAATATTCAGTGTGTGCCCAACTGAGATGGCAATTTGGTCAGCAACCGACCAATTTCATTCATGTTCTTTCGGTCACTTGGTGAGTGTTCCCAATGTCACCTCCTAAGGAGGACTAGTGCAAAGACTACGAGAGCTGAAAATCATCTGTATTTGTTAGCTCTACTGGTTCCACGACTCCTGCTACGAAGGTCAACAATGGTTGCCAGTCGCATGAAAAACTGCCTCAACTTTTGCCCACAACCCAAAAAAGGCTCCCTGAGATTAGGGTCCACACTTCAAAGGTGTCCTGGAAAACGGAGCAATTCGAACATGCTCATGGCAGATAGTTTGGGTCAGCGGAGCCTCGGAGGCTCACTGCTACGCAACGTATCCAGCTGCCTGCATGCTTCTTTTCGTCAGTAGTGGCAAAGGTGCCAGAAAGTCCAGGTATTCTCTCCCCGGGTCGGGGAAAAAGGTATAACTTACCGAAAGAAAGTCGTGAAAACCCTCGTCCATAGTGTACCCCTCTCAGTTCCTGGACCTTCTGATCGTCTTTGCGGCCAAGCTTCCGCTCGGCGACCAAGCTTCGCAACATGTGCTGACTGCAAAGATTGCTGAATCTGAACAGCTGGGCAAATGTTGGAGTCTTAGCAGTGGAGTCCTAATCATGCAATCACCAAACAACAGTGTACGCACGATTTGAATCGTCCTTGATAGCTCGCCGACACACAAGATACTGCTGGTTGATCAGGGGAAGAAGAGTCACAGGATAGCTTACCCTCTGGCTAGGTCGATGATTTCTGAAGTAATTCGACTGTACAAGTAGCCTCCGTGTCTTAACATCGGATGTCTCAAACTGAGGAGCCTCCGTTGCGGCTTGCAAGGGAAGCCTCACAAAACCACCCGGAAGGGTCCCCAATCCTGAGACAAAACCGGAAGGAGTACGGTGTCACGGAAATTGTCCAATACCCAAAAACATGAATGCAAAAATGCTGACCCAAACAGGAACTGTGTTCAGCACATGTCGCCATGTGTTTGTGGCCAGGTGCTTCATCTGCCAGCACTGTGTGCCTAGAAACAGTTGCTCACGGTTCGCACTTTCAGAATACATGCCCGAAAACAACAATATCGCTAAAACTCAGCAACGGCTCAAACAACTTTCTTTGCTTAGGTTCGGACGATGATCAATCTGTGGCATCGACACATAATAAAACATCAAGTCCCCCTTAGATGCCACTTTGCAAACAGCAGTGGATTCCAGTGATAGGCACAAGGGGCGGTGGTATATACAAGAAGCACCGAGCTGCGAGTGAGAAAGGATTGAAACAGCGTGCCGGGAAGATGCCGGCTTCCTCCGCATTGAAATACACCAAGGCACGAGCCGACACGGCCCGTGAGGCCCAAAAGACTACGGCGTGCGAGGAAGCCGCATGCTAGCTGTTCATCTCGGCCTGACACGACGTGACTCTGTCAAAGCACCTGCATAAAGCGAACTGGAGTCCAGGACTTCATGAAATCATGGAGAGCAACAGAATCGCATGATGGTCCACTGCAGCTGACTTGCCTGGAGAGTCCTTGCCTAA